GGCGCCTCCCGCAGGGAGTCCCCGCGCGGTCGCGCCACCGCGTTTCCCGCAGCGGCTGGGGGGTCCGGGCGTGCGGAGCCCCGAGACCGAGCCGGGCGCCCCCCAGCGGCCGGCGCGGGCCCCATGGCTGGGCCGGGCGGAGCGGAACCGGCGAGGTGAAGCCCCGGGGCCGGCAGCCGGAGCGCGTGGCGGGGGCGCCGGCTCCATGGGCAGCAGCGCACAGCGGCGCGATGATGGACGTTAACAGCAGCGGCCGCCCGGACCTCTACGGGCACCTCCGCTCGTTCCTCCTGCCAGAGGTGGGGCGCGGGCTGCCGGACCTGAGCCCCGACGGGGGCGCCGACCCGGTCGCGGGCTCCTGGGCGCCGCACCTGCTGAGCGCGGTCCCGGAGGTGACGGCCAGCCCCGCGCCCACCTGGAACGCGCCCCCGGACAATGTCTCGGGCTGCGGGGAGGAGATCAACTACGGCAGAGCCGAGAAAGTTGTGATCGGCTCCATCCTGACGCTCATCACGCTGCTGACGATCGCGGGCAACTGCCTGGTGGTGATCTCCGTGTGCTTCGTCAAGAAGCTCCGCCAGCCCTCCAACTACCTGATCGTGTCCCTGGCGCTGGCCGACCTCTCGGTGGCCGTGGCGGTCATGCCCTTCGTCAGCGTCACCGACCTCATCGGGGGCAAGTGGATCTTTGGCCACTTCTTCTGCAACGTCTTCATCGCCATGGACGTCATGTGCTGCACGGCCTCGATCATGACCCTGTGCGTGATCAGCATCGACAGGTAAGGGCCGGGCCGCCCGTCCTGGGGTCCGGCTGGGGATGTGCTGGCCGCGCAGCCCCGCGCGCTCGCCTTTCCTGGGAGGATCAAGCCCGACTCCAAGGCGGGATGAAGGGCTGCGCTCGCAACAACCCCCACACATCCACCCTACACCAGCCAAACTTCGCTTACAGCGTAGCCTATGTACACCGCTGAAAGAAAAACCCGAAATGTTCTGCTTTACTGTAGTGACGATTTTAAGACCAAAGTTAGAGTATTTTAAGCCTTAGCAGTTCCACCAGGGGGTCCCCTGGCTTGGTTTAAGCAAGGAAGGGATTTGATGCCGTCTGACTTGACAAACCCTTGCTGTGAGCCTAACAAGTCATTTCTTACTTTAAGAAATTGGAGAAAAGACACCTTGCTTCCCCAGAGTGTGCGAGCTACTCCCTAGGCCAGTGAAAGAACTTTGGAGGGTTCCTGGATTCAGGTGTACATGCCTTAAACGTTGCACCCTCGTGGTTGCTAATTCCGCATCGCATTCTTGTGGAAGTCTGGTTTTAAGTGTTTGGCAACGTTGTCAGTATCCTGCAAGCTTACTGACCGGAACCTTACTCCCTGTTTGAGTGGTTGGTTCTAGTCTTTCATCAGGTCCCCTTGGGGACCTTCTCTTGAGAACTTCCCCACTAGAGTAATTGAAACAGTCTGACCATCTGTCAGGGCTGACTGGGGAAAAATAGTCCTGCCTTGGGTGTCATTTTAGACTAGGAAACCCTCAGGGAATTTTGAAATGGAGCTAGTCTTTGGCCCTACAAATATTATGCAGGTGACAATTTGAAGTATATGGTCAATGCTCTTTGGCTATAGAGCAACGGTTTCACTTAAAACTGAAATAGTAACCCTTAATATTCACATTCAGAATTTTGCTGGTGTTTTAAAACTAGCACAGGACTAGTATCCTGTTGTGTTTAATGATAGAAATGGTTGCTTGTTTTCATAGTGGATCTGCAGAACCTTTAAATGTGTAGACTTTTCGGCATAGGAGAAATAATTGATACCTTGATACTTAAAATGACAGTGCATCCATCAAAGGATAGTTTGGCATGAAACTGAGATTTTCCTTTTTTTCTCCTTGAAAACATTGCTATTTGTGGTTTGTTGGTATTTAAAATGTTCTATTTTACTGCTTGACCAGGGTTTATAATTACTAAATAAAGGAAATGATAGGAAAGGGAATATTTTCAAGAAAGATAATACATTGTAGTTCCATTTATTTCATGATTTTAAAAAATTGATCCTTGCCATTTTATATATGATGATAGGAGCCTCTAACAGCAAACAAGGACTTATTTTAAGAGCAGAGCATGAACCACATAAGTGAGGATATTAGCACCAAATTTGGCTGCTGAAGTTCTGAATTACTGTAGTTAAGAATGACAAAAACGGGAGTCCCTTGACCATTGTTCTAATTTTACATGACAAGTCTTACCTTTGTTTAGGATACTTTTCCTGGCAATCTTGTCTTAACTGGGACTTTACATGTAATTTTTTTCCCCCTTGGTATGAGCAAATGATGGTACAATATTTAGGCCTAAAGCCTTAGCTCTGTGCTTTTGAAATATACATTTTCTGCCTTGTTTCACCTCGGAGTCATCTTTTTAAAAGGGAAATTGTTGCTTAACAGTTGCATAGGATGATAAAATAGGTAATTAAAAGATTGATGGTCTAGTGTTATAGCTCTTTTAGAATTTGTCTAGCAGGTTTTCCAGTCCTCACCAGAAAATCCCCCCAAAATTTATTTTAAAATATAATAAAAATAAAAATTGATGGTCTGAATAAAAATATGTATATTTAAAAGCCAGCAACTAAAAAAATCTTTATAAAAGCTACAAAAAAAAAAAAAGAATGATAAAAACATATGCATTTGCAGTCTGGCTATGGCAACAGGAATTAGGAGAGTGTACTCAATCTATATAGCAAGTATATACATGAACTATAAGCTCAGAAATCCCACTGCTCAGCCAGCCAAATTGAAGCATCTTGCATGAATGGTGTCCTTTTAAATGGAACTTCGTGCAATAAAACAAATAACAATTTATGCTGCAAGTAATGCATTTGTAACCATTTAAAAATTTCATAATTGATAGTTGATAAATAAATAGAACAGTGTGCTAATTTATCTCCTAAGATAGCTGGTGCTTCTGTTCTTCTGGGCACATTAAAGCATGTCTTGAGATTACCCTGTGATTCCTGTACATGAACTAAAGACATTCTTCATCAGACTTCTAAAAACTAGGATGGCTTTTAAAATTTATTAAAATATTTTAAAAAAGAAAAAAAAAGACATTCTTCATTCAGTGTGCATGTGTGACTTAGTACCAGCAGGCATGTCCCGAATACAGAGAAGATGTTAATTCTTCTTGGCAAGAGCTTCTAATTTTTTCATTACCTATATCCTTATGATTGTCACAAATTATGATAGATTCTATCTCTTCTTACCTGTCAGAATAATCCTGGTGAATTCTGCTTAAAAATTATTTTAGAAGATCAGCATATCAATTCTTTAGATAAAATGAAGAATTGATAAAATTGGAAGGCACAGATTGATTTTCTTCCAATAACATAGAGAACTAAAAATGAGGAAAAGGAAAATGCATTTGATATCTAAGGTGAATTACTTCTAAAAGAATGTTTTCTTCAGTTCCACTGTAGAATATGATAGGTGATATAAAATGTGCTATGAAAATATGAAAAAAATTAATCTTCATTTATTCCCTTATTCATTCCCTCTTGAGTACCTAATATAGGTTACATTGTGCTTTTGTGCAGCACAATAAAAGATGAATAACAGTATTCTTGCTTTTGAGCTCATATTCAAGAGTTTGGATATCTGTTGGGCACTTAACCTGTCCAAAATGGAACATTTCATTTTTCTTAACCACTCCTCACCATACTGGGATGCTTTTCCAATGCAATGCCATACATTCTTTTCCCAAGGCTTCAAAACTCCCTTTCCCACCCTTTTTAGATAACAACTCATATTCATTGAAAAAGTAGTAGCCATTGGATGGGAATGCTCTTTTCTTTCCATCACCAAAAAAAAATCTTCCCTTTGTCTCTACCCTTCTTTTTATTTCCTTCCAGTTAAAAGGTAAGAAGACATTGTGTCCTAACAAAGACCAAAGCCCTGGACTTTATATTCTATCCCCTCACCTTCTTGAGGACTTTGCTCCTTCAATGATCCTTCATCTTTGGTCTGTCATCGGCTTTTCCTCTCTACTTGGTCAAGCTTGGTCTTCTGTCTTTAAAAATTCCTTCTTTGGCCTCACTTCTTCCTCCAGTTATTTCTCTGCTTCACAGTTAAGCTGCTCAGAAAACTGTGTCCACAACCTGTCTTTAATTTCTTACCTTTCAGGTAGCTGAGTTTGACACTAACTAGGTCCACTGCCATATTCTAACTGGCTTTCCTGGTTCTACTTCAGTCTACCCCACCATCCATTCCCTATGAAGAAGCTAGAATGATCTATTATACATATTTTTGTTTGTTGTACGTGAGATAAAATTTATGTATAGTGAAATGCACAGTTCTCAAATATCCAATTTGATGAGTCTTGACAAATATATATATACACACCTGTGTAACCAATATTCTAGTCAATACGTAAAAATTGTGTCATCCAAGAAAGTTCCCATGCCCCGTTTAGAATGTTCTTTTAAAAATAAAAATCAAATTACCTTTCGTATATAGTTTTGCAACATGTGAAACAGTTCCATATATTGTTTAGGGAAGCTTTTTTAAGGAGTAAAAGTCTAAACTAGTGCAGAGGAATGGTGGACACCAAATTCAGGAGAATGGTTATCTCTGGTGGGATGGGTGGAGGAGTGATCAGGGAGGAGTACACAAATGAACTATATGGAGGCCAGACATGGTGGCTCACACCTGAAGTCCCAGAATTTTGAGAGGCCAAGATAGGAAGATGAAGATTGCTTGAGGCCAGGAGTCCGAGACTAGCCTAAGCAACATAGTGAGACTCCATCTCTGCAAAAAATTTAATTTTTTTTTTTTTAATTAGCCAGGCATGGCTAACTGGGGCAGGTCAAGGCAGGAGGATCAAGTAGTCTCAACTACTTGGGAGGCTGAGGAAGGAGGACCAAAGAGCTCAGCAATTTGAGGTTGCTGCGAGCTATGATGATGCTACTGCACTCTAGCCTGGACAACAGAGCCAGACAACTGACTCCAAACAACCAAAAAACTATATTGGTAATGTTTTGTTTCTTAATTTTGGTGGTAGATACAGACTTACTATTCTTTGTATGACTTTTTTGTATGTCTGAAATGCTTTTTAAAACTTTATTTGGAAATACATATAGAAAGGTACGCACTCCCCAGTGTGAAACTTGATGAATTTCCACAAAGTGAACACATTTGTATATCAGCCGTATCAAGACATAGAACACTGGTAGCTTCCCAGAGTTCCCCTCTTGTTCCTTTCTGGTTGTTAATGCCCCTGAAGATACTGTTGTCTTGACTTCTAGCATCATACATTAGTTTTGCTTGGCTAACCTTAGTATCAATGGAATTGTATAGCATGTACTCTTTTCAATCTGGCTTCACTTGCTCACATGATGTCTGTGAGTTTCATCCATAGTTTTTAAGCTATCAGTAATTCATTCATTTTTATTACTGAGTAGCAGTATTTCTTTATACAAATATGCCATAATTTGTTTCTTCATTCACCTGTAGATGGACATTTGAGTTGTTGCCAGTTTTAGGCTGTTACTAATGGCTCTGCTCTGAACATTTATTTGTGTACAAATCATTTTGTGGACATGTTTTAATTTCTTTTGGGTAAATACAATCCTAGGTAATAAGGTACTTTGGAACATTCTATTTCTGTCTCCATAGCACACCTTTTTTTGTTATTATTGTCATGTATTTTAAGTCTATAGGTTTTAAAAGCCTGTTAGATAGCTATTAATGTTATTTTCATTGTTGTTTTAAAACAATCAATATTCATTCTTATTTA